TATGTGAGGAGATATTGAAGGTACTTAGAGAGGCAGAATGGGAACCAAGCTTGTATTGGATTAAAATGGCTGATGAATTTTCTGATGATTCACCTTATTACACAGTTTGTCCTAACGGCAAAACCACTATGAACATCTCCCACTATATTTCTCGATGGAAAATCGAGTGGATGGATCGCGACGAAGCTGATTCTATCGATTCCAAGTCTTTATTAATGTAGAAATATTCCAAACTTGAAGATGCCAATATTTTTTGCTAGTAAGAAGAGCTCATGATTAATTGGAGGGCCATTTATGATTCTGAATTCTGAAACTGTGTCAAAATTTAAAATTAGGTGTGTGTTTGGTGACAAAATAAAATATTGCATTAAATTGTGTAAATTACAACCACCTCCCCGAGATCAAGTTTAATTACAAAAAAAACTTTCTTTTTGAGAAATTACATCCAGTTCCCTTAAGTTTGTAAATTTCTTACATCCACCCCCTACAGAAGGTTTTTAATGAAAGAAATCTATAAATTTGAGGATGAATGTAATTATGGAAAATTGAGGGGGGGTTTCGTAATTTACTCTAAAATAGACCTTACCTACCAAACCCCCTCTGTTTGACAATCTAGTCTAGAAACAAACGTGTGTTGGTTTTATTTTGACTTACGAAAATAAAATGAAGTAGCTTTCACATTGGTCCGCATTTATAAATTTTGAGCTAAACAAACTATAAATGGGGTAGTTAGAACTTTGTTTACCAGTCCTATCCACTCGTTGCCCTACCAAATTATTATCGTACCCTATCGAAATGTTTTGGTAGAGCAACGACACTCTATATTATTAAAATGGTATTACATTACTGTATCGAAATATTATTGATAAATAAAATTTTATTTTCATAATTAATTTATTATATATAAAAAGTAAATATATTCTTTAACTATCTACTATTAATTAAAATTAATATATTCTTTAGGTATGTCAAAAATATTTAAAATTGCTTTAATTAATAATGATATAATTGATGTTAAAAGTTTTTATATTATAATTTTATTTACAAAATATTTAATATTAGATAAATTAAGAACATATATTTAGAATACTTATGTCATAAATAATAGTTTTGAAAAGTTTAAACATGCATGTACCTTGAATTGTTTTGAAAAAAATATTCAATTTATACTTAAATAGTAGATAATATAAATTGGTAATTAGTAATTACCATTACCATATCCTATCATACCGAAATTTTGATACCCAAAATGGGTAAAAGGATAAGTGGGACAGGCAAAAATATGAATTAGAAAAACATATGATACAATACGATGCGATACGATACTGTTTAGAAAAATAAATGTATTCACATGGTTAATATTTATATTCGAAGAATGGGTTGACTTGTCACAACCAAGGACCACCTACGAAATAACAAAGAAGTAAGAAAAATTAACAGCTACCTAGTACCTAGTACCTACCCACAAACAAAGCATATACACACAACCAAAGCTTCAAAAGCCAACTACTTTCTCTTCATAGCTCCAACCTTCCCTTTTCAATTAATTCCTTCAAAAAAGAAAAAAACACACACACACACACAGCTGCAGCAGAAGAAAGAAGAAGAAGAGGAGAAATGGTGGGACCCACTCGGCCGCAGATCGTGCTATTTGGTTCATCTGTAGTTCAGATGTGTTACAACGTTGGAGGCTGGGGTGCTATTCTTGCTGACCTTTATGCTCGCAAGGTACCCTTTCTTTTTCTTTTCTTTTTCATGCTTTCTTTGACTTGTGGGGTGGGGGTTGGGGGTGGGGGGGGTGGGGGAGGCTAGATCATTTATGGGTCTGGGTTCTTCCTAATGACTTTTGGATCATACCATATGTTGAATCAAGAATTTAAAGAAAATAAAAAATAAAAAGTACATTTATATCTATTTGTGGGGTTTAATTATATATTCTGATTTGGGATCTTGTACCTTAAAAAATATGTCACTTAATGATGGTACTGATTGATTTTAATGGAAGGCTTTTTTCTTGCTTGCTTGTACTCTCTTGTTTGTTGGGATTTTGAGTAGAGATTCTATATATATAATATATATATATATATATATATATGTTGAAGCATATGAAGAACAAAATCATTTACTGAATTTGGCATTTAAAGTTTCGTTAAAGGATTCATTGAATTATTTCATTCTCGATTTTTTAAGGCGGATGTCGTACTGCGAGGATACTCTGGTTGGAATACAAGGATGGCTCTCCAAATCTTGGATAAGGTTTTCCCCAAGGTACACACACACACACACACACATGCATACATAATGAAGCTAGTCGATTAAATATGCGACTTGTCGAATTATTGAACAATTCATTCGATTCATCCAAATATCATTTGCATCAGCAATGTTGTCCCCTCGAGTTTCATATACAGTTAGAACTCAAAAACCGAGACACTAACTAATAGCTTACGTGTCATTAATTAATTAATTAATTAATGGTTTGGTTTACAGGATGAAGCTACTCAGCCTTCTCTGGTTATATTATATTTTGGAGGTAATGATGCAACGAACCCTCACCCGAGTGGCCTCGGTACTCATGTGCCTCTCCCTGAATTTCTCGAAAACATGAAAAAGATGATTCTTCATATCAAGGTTCGTTTTCACGTTATTCGCCCTCGTGTGTAATACAAAAAAACATTTGCAGCTGAATGCATATTGATTTTGTGGCATTTGGACAAACAGATTTATTCTGACAATAATTCTAAACAAAATTTCAGAATCTTTCGGATAAGACGAGGATAATATGTCTTACTTCTCCTCCTATCAACGAAAAACAAATTCACGCAATTTTCGGGTAATCTTATCGTGTAATAATATGTTTCGTTTTTAAGGGTTGCTCTTCTTTTGTTAATCAAGATTCGGCAATTTTTTTACCTAAAAAACAGGGATGCACTTTCTGATCAAGCGCGCACAAAGGAAGGCTGTCGTATTTATTCCGAAGCTTTAGCAGAGCTGTGCCAAGAATTGGATGTTGTGCCCATCAATCTTTGGACTGCAATTCAGCAAAAAGATGACTGGGCCGATACTTGCTTTATGTAAGTACAATTTATAGCTCATTTTTGTCACTCGTTTTTTTTCTTATAAACTAAATATACTTATCGATAATTATGTTGCAATACGTCGTAAAAACTCATAATAGTATTAAAATAGCTTATCGTTGGGAACCTCTGTGTAGAGATGGAATCCATTTGTCGGCTGAAGGGAGCAAAATAGTGGTGGGGGAGATATTGAAGGTTCTGAAGAAGGTAGATTGGGAGCCAAGTTTGTACTGGTTGTCGATGGAATCCGAGTTTCCGGAAGATTCTCCGTACTATGTTGTTGGTCCTGATGGTAAAAACACTTTCAATGTGAGCACTCATATCTGTACTTGGCAAAGGGAGTGGCTCAATATTTAGTGATGGTCACTAATTTTGCAGCACGAGTTTTGGTAATTTTATATGTTTGTGTCAATGTCCTATTTTTTTTATTGGGTGTATCTCGTTTTTCGACGATATATGCATTACGTGTACCGGTCGTATTCAGAGGGATAACTCCAATTGCTGAATAAGAATTCTTGGATTATCAGATTATTGTTTTGTCACAAGTTGTTAGGCAGATACAATTCAAAGGCTTTGTTTGGCTAATTTTCAGAATTTTCTTTCTTTCATCCAAATAAATATGTTAAAACTTTTTTGTGGGAATAATGTGAAAGAATTCATTTTAATTTTTGGACAAACTAGTGTGTGGGGGTAATGGACAAACTTTTGCCCCCACATTCCTTATAATACATCAACTCATCAAAGGGTAATTATATGTATCGAACTCAATATCTGACATGCTGCGAATTAAGTAAAAATCAATTTTACATCATAATCAAACAATTGATACATACAACAGGCAGAAAACAAGTGAAAAAAACACGACACCAGATGGTAGTTGAGTCACATGTTAGTCTCTTTTTTTTTCAGGCAATTAAATCAAATTAAATCAAAAAACCGAGCTGCACACACCCATCGAGATCATAAAATCACTCTATAAATACATAAACCGGAAAGTCCACCATACTCGAGTGTTGAATCTTCAGAGTCAACGTGTTCATGTAGAAAGTTGGAATCTGCCACTAGGCTTTTTTCTTCTCCATCCCTGAAATTTACACCATGCAACAGCTTAGAGCTCAGGCTTCATGCGCAAACACAAATAAACATAACGCATTAGAAATCAAAGGTTGACCAAACTTACAAAAGCACCATAATATACAAATGTGAGCCCCGCTAGAACAATGAATCCAATTTGAAACACGTTATACCTGAAAAAGGAAAATAAAATAAAATTTACTAGGGAAGATTATGATGGCAAAATACTATTGGATACCGAGAGTAGGTTGAAAGTTTACTGACTTGTACAAGTACTTGATGCCCCGAAGTGATTGTAGTGTATGACCAAATATCTCTTGAGCTGCGGTAGCTTGGGCATAATATCCAAATGCAGTGGCGCAAAATTGAATCACACTGAGACCAAAACAGTTTAAATAATCAATTCAACATTTTGAAGGGAGCACAAAAGCTCGTTGAGGTACAAAGTAAATGACAGTCGCAAATTGCATTAAATTACAACAAAACTGAATAAACTGACAAACAAGATGAACAGAAATGCGGACATAAACTTATAAACAGATCATATGATTGCATCAAGAATTGAAGCACCTACAATTCAAGACAATTACCTGATTGAGGAAAGAAGAATGAGGCCCACATTAAAAAGAAATGAGTTCATAAGTGTAGCTCCCCATCTGAACCAAATATCAACTTTAAGGTACCAACTCTTCAAAGGCAAGAGGTATGCAGAGTAAATGAGATAATTTTTAAAAAAAAATAGGGAAGAAAACCCAATAAAGAAATACATACTTCATAGGATGGATCGTAATAAAAACCAACTTCAAGCCAAGCATCATTGCGCCAGCAATTACAGCAAGCAGAAGATAGAAGCAGAAGAATGCAAATGCTGCAGTTCCGAGAAGACCTACAAGTAAAAGAAACCATTATCCTCTCCAATTAAATACACCATTAGATGTTAAAGAAAGAAACCACAAACATCAGTCAGCAGTTTACCCCAAATATCATCCAATTTGATGAAGACTTCGTTGAGAAATGCCGAAAGGGGAGGATCAATCAGCAAATATATCACTATATGTGCAATCCAAGCCACTGAAACAATCAACCTGTTCAAAGTAACAAACTTGTTTAATAACATTGTCGATCTGCAGTACAAAACCGTTCAACTCCAAAAACGATCATGGCAGCAGGGCTAAGAAACAAAACATACCCTATAACTCCAAGTACCAGTTTGGCAAGGTAGCCAAGAACAGTCATAGCCCATGAAGTCTCAGCCTGAACAAGTTAAGCAAGAATGTCATGAGGTTTTCCTTTCCACATTTTTTTTAGTATTTCAACTTTTCAGGGGGTGGGGAAGGTCGAAGAATTAGAATCTACTACGAGCATAACAAAACATGAGTTGTACGATAAGTCATTATACTATCATATATCACCTTTTCACCTTGAGGATACATTTCCTCCAAAGACTTCACGTCTTCTTCCAGCAGAAGTACCTCCTGCAAGTAAAAATAACTCGTGTAAGTAGTTATTTTGCAGTAAATAAATCCAGCAAGAGAGAAATTACATATATGCCACTAGAATATAGCTTATCTGGCCAACTGATGAGATCATAAAAGAAAACAAAAGAGCAGTAGGGGGGGAATGAAGACACGTAGCTCTGAATAAAAAATAAATGTGAAAGGTGTTTCCTATAAAACATCCACCAAGCAAGGTCAAAATATTTTAAAGTACATTTCAAATACTCAGCTCAACAAGGTCTAATCGAGAACGTCGAAATTACTATACAAAAGATGATAAAAAAAAAAAAAAAAAAAAAAAGAAACTGCAAAGACGAGACAACAAACCTTTTCTACAGATTTCACATTTTTACGCCATTTTCTTCCCTTATTGCCGCTCCTTTCTTCCTGATGAAGTGCATCAGCTGCTTTTTTCAGTTCTCTTGCTTTTTTCCCCAGTTCAGTTGCTTCCTAAATGAGATCAAAATTAAGCTTCACGTGTCAATTATAGATGTCTAATCCAATAGTTAGAAGATTAGAGTTGTCTTTCTAGTCCACATGGAAAAATCTACATAACCAAAAAAGCACAATACCTTAATATATTGTGAACGTGTGATAACAGCCTTTGGACGCCGGACAAATGAAAATATAAGTCCTAGTGGAAGGCAAGCTATGCCAACCCCACCAAAGATCTGCAGATTGCAGCAATCCAAAAAAATCAGCACAACGCTAAGAATAACGTGAAAATAAAATACACTTGGAGAAAAAACACAATTCAAGGCATAAAACTATTTATAAACTAAAAAAATTTACTATATAAGTTTCAAGCAAGTGTTATTCAATATATTTTAACAGTGGATACCTATAGCCCACATTATATATTTAAAGCTTGCATACAAGAAAGAGATAATTTCATATGCCACATTAGCAATAGTTTGTGCATCCAACACAAGAGAAATTGTGGAACACCAATCATTGTTATGGAGATATTTGCTGTAAGAAAATCTAAACGGGGAAACATACGGTGAAGAGAACAGATCCCGCAATTGTAGCGAGAGCAACAATGTATTCTGGGAAAGTAGTGCGCATGGTCCATGTTGTCTCAGATGCAGCATTGGCAATATATGCGGAGCACTGAAGAATGCAAGAGGTAAGTTTAGAAAGAATCATGAAGCGAAACCAGTAAGCAATATAATTAATATATACATATTTAATCTGACCTGTCTAGTTCCACCAATACATTGTTGACCCTCGGAGAAGTTAAATGATGGTGTGAAGGGCTCAGTGGCCGAGGAGAGGTGCCTAACAGTAAAGTCCACCTTACCAATAAGCCCTAGGACAGCCAATCAAATAATATGCACAAGTAAGCCCAAATCGAAATTGATAATTGCTTATATGGAAAGAAAAATGCACTAACGACACAGATTTAGAACAAAAAAATTCCCATTCGAATGGCACATAAGGACGCCATGTTCAGCAGAAAAATATTTTCCTTCCATGAAGGTATTTAAAGTCCATATCATCCAATTATAACAATAGATGAAAATAATTTATACACCATAAATCATAATGTCGTATAACATCAACATTCATTATAGAAGTGGGGACAAATATATAAGAACTAAATAACCCGGTAAACTATTATACATTTTCCGTTCAACAGTTCAACTATAATACATGGTCAGCATCACGAGCCAAATGTGACGCCTACAAAATACAAACATTTTTATTTCACGACCAGCAAAACAGTGACCAATTAAGGAACGATTAGGTAACTAAACCACTAACGCCAATTAGAACACTGTCATAACTGAGGTAAGTCGACTAGTCGAGGCTTCATAACTATAAAGAAGCACGACTGACAAATTCTATACTGAGCTTGCAGGCTGCAGCTCAACAGTACTAAAGAATATATCACTCTACTTCAATCCAGTAAAATCATCGAATAAAACAGCAATTACTAAAGGCTTTTCCCACCAAAAAAAACCTACCGTATAAAATTCCCAGAACGAGAGCACAAACAACAGCTGTCACAATCACCCACAGCGACGCACTTTTCACCCTTTTCCATACAGTCCTGAAAAACCAAAACACAACAACAGAAACAAAATTAAGCACAAATAGGCAACAAACAAAACATGGCGAAAATTGAAAAAAATAGAAAAAACATAATGATGATAAGCCCTTACTTGTCTTGGTCGCCTTCGTAATAGAACATAGCAAACGGGATGACGAAGAAGACAAGTATGGCATCAATAATGTAAATAGCGAGCCACAAATCCTTCATCGGGAGCGTGAGATTGCAGGCGCCGTTGTAAATCGCGTGGCGGCAGGCCTGCCGGTTAGCCACGTCGGCGGGGAGCATGAGAATGGAGATGGCGGCGATTGAGAGCCCCAAAACGACGACGAATTTGGGGAAATAAGCCTGGTTGGCGTCATCTGGATGCTGGTAATTGACGAGCAGGTAGACGTTGAATACGAACACCAGAACGCAGACGATTACCGCCACAAGCAGTAGGGCTAAATTGAAATCCCCCATTTCTGGGCGGGGTGGAAATTGAGGGAGAAGCAACAGAGCAACTCTCCCCTTTTTCCAATCAACGGGTTGATCCGATTAAGTTTCGGGTCGGATTATTGGATCTGGTTTCTTTTTCTTCTTTCTTTTTTAGGATTTCTCTTTCTTCCTTCTTTGTTTTGAACAGGAGAGAGAGAGAAGGCGCGTTTGCGCCGGTGACAGATTCGGTGGAGAGGGGGCTGGGGTTTGACGGACTATGCAAAATTACCATACTAGCCTCGTACTTAACAGCAAATGACGAGCTGTGCTGGAAATAACAGTTATTTTTCTTATTTTTATTTTTTAATTGAGGATATGTGCTGGAAATAACAATTGTTTTTTCTAATAATTATTATTACTTCTTTTCATGCTGGAAAATTTTAAAATTAAAATTATTAAATAATAATAATAATAATAATAATAATAATAATAATAATAATAATAATAATAATAATAATAATAATAATAATAATAATAATAATAATAATAATAATAATAATAATAATAATAATAATAATAATAATAATAATAATAATAATAATAATAATAATAATAATAATAATAATAATAATAATAATAATAATAATAATAATAATAATAATAATAATAATAATAATAATAATAATAATAATAATAATGATAATAATAAAAATAATAAACTTAAATAAGGAATTTCACATATTAGGCCCGATTTAGCCAACCTGAATCACATCACTTCACTTGCAAAGTCCATACAACTTGATTTGATAGGATGTATTAGAGAATAAATTATAAAACAAAAATAACACATTAAAAATAATCACATTAATGGTTGTTAGATTTTTTTCAAAATCATTTATTTACATTTGCACATTGCTCACCCCTAATTATAAATCAGTTTGTATATACTAAAAAAAAATTAAAAATTAATAACTATTTAAATTTTAAATAATTGTGAACATGTTTTTTTTAGTATTTTCCACTATTAATAAAAAGAAAATCCCAATTAAAAATAAATAAAAAGAAATCAAAAACTGCTTTGTGGGTCCAGACTTATGCAGTTACTAGAGGGAATATTCAAGGATTATCCCGCTCATAATTTTCATTTCCCCCTATTTTAACTCGGCACTTTGGGGTGCATTTCCCCCTATTTTAACTCCGCAGTTTGGAACGGCGAGGTGGATCCGTTGTCGGTATGATTGATTATTCTGTTTTAGTCGTGTTGTTGGAGTCTTCTCCTCATTACGAGTCTTTGTTGGATTGAGTCTTCATCTCTATTTTAGTAAAATGTTGTTTAACCATTCCGTAATCTGTTATTCATCGAATTATTATATTTGATTCAATAAAATATTATTGATCACATATGTGTGAGTTTGACTTTAGACTAACTATAATAAATACTTCATCTTTTCTAACCCGAGGTAGGAAAATATTTTTATTGCTTAAGTTGGATTCCTTGTTCCCTACCCCTATTTATACTAAATTATCTTCTTAATAGACAATGGAGATCTATTTAATCTAACGGTTGGGAGTTGTTCACCTAGACACCACCAAATTGAGCCAGGCTAGTATGCGCGACACGTCTTGTGGTCTTTTTTTTTTTTTTTTTTTCTTTTTTTTTTTTTTTTTTTTTTTTTTCTTTTT